GTAATTTTTTATAGGTCACAGATTAAAAAAATTCAAAACTTTTACGGGTCACAGCTCTATTTCATCGAGTCACAGTCCCAATTTTCAGGTCACGGACACTCACATAGGTCACAAATTGAAAAAAAATCAGAATGTTTACTTGTCGCAACTCTATTTCAGTGAGTCACAGTTACAATTCCTAGGTCATAGTATTCTATAATAATTCCTCCGATTGGATTCTGTTTTTCATCAGTCTATTGTGCCTTTTGCACCGCCGCCGGCTATGGATTCATCCCACGACCGTAATCTGATCATTTCATCTATCACACCATAGATTCATAAGGGCCGAAAAATGAATTGTTTTTCACGAAAAAGAAAAGAGGTGAATAGATAAATGATACCTTGCAGCCAAGGGAGCGGAAATTGAAATAGATAAATGATACCTTGCAGCTAAGGGAACAGAAATTGAAGGAGGAGAGAGGTGAGAGAGTGGAGAGAAATGGATAGATTTAGGGTTTGGATAAATTAAAATGATAAAAACTTGAAAAGTGAAAAAATAAAACGAAAATCTAATTTTTTAAAACGTGAAACTGAAGACCTGATCTATTGTAATTTTCCCAATGAAAACAGTTACAAAGCCCAAGTGGCCCGACGTGCTACCTAAAGTCCAGCCCACAAGGTATAACAAGCTCACGCGATTTACACGTGAGGAACCCATAATACTAGTAGCGTGGTTTTCACGCTGGAATAAATACTTCAGATAGATAAATCATTGACTTTTTAATTATTAGCAATATAGAATGACTTTCTATACCGTCCATTTTCGACTGTATATTCTCTCCGTCAGCAGATTCTTCCAAAAGAAAAAGAAAAAAGAAAAGAAAAAAAATCTCTCTCTAAGCCTTTAAAGGCCCTTCAGATACTCGTAGGCTGCTCATATTTTGTCTTTACAGATTTTAGAGGGAGAAATTAGAGTTATTTTTGGAGAAAATGTCAGGAGGTATTGCTCGTGGGAGACTCGCTGAAGAGCGCAAATCATGGCGCAAAAATCATCCCCATGTAGGATAACATTCTCCACTGAAATTTTTCTTGTTCTTTTGAGTTATGTTTCGTTGCTACGATTTTTTTTCCTTTTTTCCTTTCCTGAAACAGGGTTTTGTGGCAAAGCCAGAGACACTGGCTGATGGGACAGTGAATTTGATGGTGTGGCACTGTACAATTCCTGGTAAACCCGGGGTAAGTAGTTTATAGCGTTTTTTATGGTTTTTTTTTTAATTTTTTGGTTAATGTTATGATGATAAATAGTTAATATGTGGGATGATTAGTTCATTTTTTGAGAAAAAGTGTAATATTAAAGGGAGAATTATTTGGGTGATAGTCGTCTCTTCCGCTGTTTAATTTCATTGTGTGCTTTTCTATGAGTTGGGCATTATGGTGTTAATGTAGATAAGAATTGAATATGGGGTAGTTTTAGGTTTTTTTGTAAATGAGAATGCAGTATTATTTGCTCAAATCGCCAGTAACTATTTTTTTTGCTTGGATTTGGTGAATCAGATCTAGTTGATTTTAGATCTTACTTAGCTCCCATTATTTCAAAACTCTTCATTTTCAACCACATGATTACACAATAAAATATTCTACAAGTCCGTCCAAAATTTTTCCCTACTTTTTAACTATACATTCTCCAAAATTTCATTGTTCAAAACAATATTTTTCCCAAAAATGGTAACCAAACAGGGGCTTAATGTGATGCTTTCACGGGTCTTCTTTAATTATGTTACGCGGATGGTTTGTCGGTATCTGTACTATTTACTGGTGTACTGTGTTTTATTGCTGGTTAACTTTGGATTAACATGTGGGATTGATGTCGACTTCATTAGTGGTGGAAATTGTGTCATATTTAGTATGAAAATTAAAATTGATCTCATACGCATAGTTCCTAAGATTCGCCTATTAAGTTGTAATATGCCTTTGTGAAGTTCAGTCATTTATCATCAATCAATACAACGCACCTTACTTCATGACTCTCATATATATATTATCGTGATTCTTCTAAATATATTGTCAGTGAGGACCCTTTGGCGCCTCAACCTCTTTGGAATATAATTTATCTATTTTGGTTAACCTATTGCCTAGTAGCGTAATTGCCTTTGTAATTGTAACAATCATGTTACTAACTATCAGGTGTTGGAATTGACTTGTAAAAGGAATTGGATCGTGGTAATTTTAGTCATGACTTTTGTATTGATAGGCAGGTGAAAGTTCAAAAATGGTACCATTATGCCATGATGGCTTGCAGAACTTGTACTAGGCAATTGCTTTGTGATGAACAAAGATATTGGCGGTTTTCTTCACTACTTTCAATCAAAAATTTAATTGTGCATGGTGAATTTGATCTTTGATCAAGGTCTTCTCTCTCTCTTTTTTGTATAATTGAATCCTTTACATGAGTGTACATGTCATAAGGGCATCTCCAAGGGTCACCAATTTGGTGTGTAACTTTTAAACCAGATTGGTTCAATTTTCACACCAATTTGAGGTAACATCTCCAATGGTTACACCAAATTTTACATCAAATGAATATATTTTCTTTATTTCCTTATTATTTATTTCGCAATAATTAATTTATTTCAAAAATTTTACACCAAATGTATAGTTTTTAAGATATTTATGTTGTTCTAGTGCTAATTTATTCTTTAATTTCTAATTATGAAATTTATAACTTTTGAGTTTTTAATGAACATTTTTAATTTATTGTATCAATACTTATTACTTGATTAAAATTTAAAAATAAATGTTAAATAGAAATAATAATCAATTAAAATAATTATAAATAAATTCAAATCAATTAATTCTATAAGGATAAATAATGGACATAGAAGGAACAACAATTTGGTGTGACAGAAAATGAAGGGCAAAATGGGAATAATGAATTACACCAAATTGGTGTTAAAAAATACCAATTTGGATGTAACAAAGTCTAACATTGGCTGTCAACCTATTTCAACCCTTCTTTATTTGGACTTTAGTCTGGCTATGAAAAACACAGGCAGAGCTTTTCTTTTCTTTTTCTTAAGGCATTAGACCTTAAAAATAGTAAGAGATCGCGTATGGAATGAGTATTTTGTCATGTCCAAGTGTTTTGTACTTTAGAAATTTGGTTAATAGGATACTTATGCTCACCCCCAATCATTGTACACAGGGGTGGAGCCAGTCCGTCGAAGTAGGGGGGTTCCAGAGTTGAAGGAGTGCGGGGGCCCGGGGGGTCTGCCCCCGAAATTTTTTTTTTAAACATTATCTGTTAAAATGAGAGAAGTTGGTACTTTATGATGGAGAAAGAAAACAAATGAACATAAATTAATTTAAATTATTAACAAAAAAATCAAGAAACGTATAAAAGAAAGTACTAATCTTTAATTTAGCAAAATCATACATTATTACAAGCGTTCCTTTCGAGTTTAAGTTTTTGGATCGGTGGGATTTAAGTTTTTTATTCATTTGAGGATAAAATGGTAAATACAAAAAATAAAATTTTAAGATTAAAAAAAAAAATTGTCAAAAAATTTGGGTTCCGGGTCTCCCTCAGGACCCTCCCTGCCTCAGCCCCTGATTGTACAGTCATCTACAGCCTAGGTTAGGTAATTGTTAACGATGTTCTGATAATCTCTCGTTGGATATTATTTGTCAGTATGAGGTTTACTTGATTCAGAAAATCGGAAAATATTGTTCCCTTGGTTGCAGACTGATTGGGAGGGTGGTTATTACCCGCTTACTTTGCACTTCAGTGAAGACTATCCTAGCAAGCCACCGAAGTGTAAATTTCCCGCGGATTTCTTCCATCCTAATGTCTATCCATCTGGAACTGTTTGCCTTTCGATTCTCAATGAAGACAGTGTAAGTCATCCTACATACTTCTTTGCCCTTTTCATGTTGACCAATTATTGACCAACATCATGTTTGGCTGTGCTTAAAAGTAAGTCAAACTTACTTATCAAGTTACTTTTTAAAATAATTACTTCTTCAAGTAAGTCTCAAGAAAAGTAACTTTAAGCACAAACAAAAACATGCTCTTACTGCTCATTTTTTGTTTTCTATATCACGCTAGGATTAAGTGTCTTCATTATCTCTAGGGGTGGAGACCAGCCATTACAGTGAAGCAAATTTTGGTTGGGATTCAGGATTTATTGGATCAGCCAAACCCAAACGATCCAGCACAAACTGAAGGATACCATATGTTCATCCAGGTAATTAAGTTCTTCCTATAGCTCATTGGATTTTCTCTCTTTTTAGAAATTAGTAATACAATTATGTTATCAGGAGCTTTAGAATCTTGTTAAAATGATATCGTTCAAGGAGTTAGAAAAGGGTCTCCGTGCTAGTTTTGAGACTGGTTTTCTTTCCTTTTACCGCCAGAAGAAAATGTAGAAATATGAACAAGAAGTATGAATGAAAAATGAAAGGGAAATGCAATGGATTATGTTGCAATCTTCTTGGTTCTTTTCTGGATTGATTGTAAGTCGATCCTTATCCAAATTCAAAGCTGAGAAGCTCCCTCCAGGTTCATTAGGATACAAAATAGGTTAGAAATAGAGATCTTCATTCACGTACTGACTCGTGGATAATATATGCAGGATGTTGTAGAATACAAGAAGAGGGTTCGTCAACAGGCCAAGCTGTATCCATCACTTCTCTGAAATCTGAACAGAAGGTTGTTTTAGTTTGTGACCATTCTAGTTGTTAGAAACTTGGTTTCTTTCTAAGTTTTCTATTTTGAAAAAACTCGAGCTTGTGTAACAATGGATCGTCCATTCCCCCGTTGCTTGTGTGTGCGTGCAGTGAACCTTAATCAATGGAGTTAAGCCATTCTCGCCTTTGGTGTGTCCCTTAGGCAATGGCTTTTATCTTTGATTAAGAACCTTAATCAATGGTGTTAAGACATTCTCGACTTTGGTGTGTCCCTTAGGCAATGGCTTTTATCTTTGATTATGACTTGAAATTATGACATGGAAGTAATATTTATTTTAAATATCAGTTGACTTTATTCTTCCTCGATTTTTCTCCGTATTTAAGATGATCCATATAAGTCTTATTTGTGCATGTTTGGCAGAGGTTTATATTTTTTACATGATCAAATATACCTTTATCTACACATTTCATAAAACTTGTAGCTTATTACTCAATTATTATACGTACATTTTGTATTATCTATAATTTATAAGCACTTAAAAAAAATTTGAACTTTGCCAATCATGCACAAAATAGATGATGCGAACAGTTGGATCAAGTAAGATAATGCAAACTCGGAAAGATTTGACAATCCCAAGAATGGACCATCAAGATTTATATCGAGGTTTACACCTCTCTCATATGGGGGGTGGGGTCCACTCAAATAAAAAAACATTATTTCAATGGGTTCCACCTCCCATGTGAGAGAGATGTATCCNTTCAATGGGTCTCACCTCCCATGTGAGAGAGATGTATACCTTGATGTACAAACTTTGATGTACAAGTGGAGTTGTCCCTCAAGAATACTGTAAAGAGTAACAATTATTCATTTATTCTATCTTTAAAAATGTTTTAATTGTCAAAAAGTGAAGTTAAAAGGCGAATCCTCATCAATTATTCTTGTCTCATTGATTAAGAAGTCAATGGTTCAAAGAGTGGTATATCTTTTCCCTCCACTCCCACTCAAACAAAAGAGGGAAAAAAAAGGCAAAAAGTGAAATCTTAAAGCATATTTGGTAAAGCTTAAACTATAAGCACTTAAACCTAGTACCAAACAATCACTTATTATATAGTCGATGATTGGGATGTTGACCTTACTCGGTATATGGGAGTTCTTGATGGTGGTCATCTAGATGCTATGATAAGAAACATGGATGATACGCTTAATGTGAATTGTAGGAAAGGGAAACGGTGAGCAAGTCGTGATTGCATAATGGCTCAATATGTGATAATGTGTGTAGACCGGTTGCTACTATTTGATAAACTTTTCTATTTTAAATGAATAGTGTTATTTAACACCACTTTAGTTAATATTATGCCCCTATTTGACAGCCTTTAATATTGGAAAATTTTTCTTTCTGCACAAACGTTTTCGAACCTGCCTCTGCCAAATGATGTAGTCATGTCACCATTAAAGAATATTTTAGTAGTCTCATAATATGTATGTTTCCACTTTTACCACTGGACGAGTAATTTTTCAGCACAAAGTGTAATGAAAGTAGGACATCGCTATATATAGAGAATAAAATACTGTCAGATTATTTACAGATATAGTTGGCAATTTGTCATTTGATAGAGGCCCAAAAAAACAAAAAAAAAAAGATAACCAACCACAGTAGCACCTGTACGGCTGTACATATATCTTTTTCCATGAAACTATTCAATGAATGGAATTTCAAATTTTGTTCATGTCTATCAGTTACACAATCTTATCTTCATCACAAAATTTACTGTGCAAAAAATTGAAAGCTCTTAGAAAACATTTTAAAGGCTGTCAAACAAAGACTATATGATAAACTCAATTACAATATAATTTTAAATTGTACTCTATGATATGCTCAATTAAATGTAAAATTCTGCGACTTATTTTAATTGTACATTTTATTTAATACTACTTAATATTACCCAATTAGCGATTGTGCTAAATAGCTACTGGATTGACTTATGTTTAATTGGGAGTTAAATGTTTCATTAGTCATTGAACGTATATCTTCGTTACGCTTTACTCACTGAATTTTAAAATACTTTCGAGTGGTCATTGAAGTTTAACACATTATACTCCATCACTAGCTCATTATGTTTCATTAGTAGCGTTCTAAAAAGTGTGTAAGCGTCGCCTAGATGCAATGTGCGGGCAAAACGCTTACTTTGACAGTAAATGCGAATTAAGTGGTCAATTCTATAATGACTGTACGGCTATGCACGTTTTGTTAATTTTTCTATTTTTAAAAAATATTTTATTTGGTTTTATTTTATTAACTTTTTTATCTTTTTTTTAAATACTTTTATTTGACTTTAATTTTAAAATTTTTAAATAATTTTATCTGTATAAAAGTCTAAAATTACTTTATCCGATAAATATTTAGATAAAATTTAAGTTACGGTACTATCTATATTATGTAAATATAATTTTGAGACTCATCGTCTATTGAAAATTTCTAATGTATGTATAAAATTCTTATAAATCTGTTAAGTATGATTAGTCTAATTGAAAGTTGAAATTATAAAAAATTAGTCCTGTATTCGAAAACTTGAAAATTGACTAATTGTACAAATTATTAAGTAAATATAGTATTTTATAATTTTTAGAATGATTTAAGTTTTTAAAATAAAAACGTTTTTTATGCATAGGCTCGCCTATGCTCATAGTGCTTAAAACTTGGTCTCTACGCTTAGCCACGCTTTACGATTTTTTGAAAAATGTTCATTAGTCATTGAATTTTAAAAATGTTTCAAAGTGGTCACTAAAGTTTAACATATTGCACTCCATCATTTACTCACCATGTTTCAATAGTTATTAACGAGTGTGTTTTTACTTACGAATTTTATACAATTTTAACTGAATTGTTGGCTAGATAGAACGTTTTTATGTGTTTGCTAGTGTTGTTTTAAAGGTACAGCGATGTGGAGTAAAAATAGTGTTAAGGTGAACAAACGAGACAAAATACAAGTGAAAAGAATCAGCAAAATAGTGCTTAGGCGCCATGTTCGGAGCGCCCAAGTGCTAAGAATGACTTTGTTACACGAAGATAGCGCCCGAAGCTGAAAACCAAGCGCCCGGGTGCTATGAAGAACCAGCAGAAACAGCGACGCAGCGCCCAATTGCTGGATTCATAGTCCCTATGCGCTACTTAAAAAGGCATCGTGGCGCTGAGCTGCCTGTTTAGGCGCTCATTCATAGTGCCTATGCGCTACTTCAAAAGGCATCGCGTCGTTGCGCTGCCTGTTTAGGGTTATAAAGTTTAGGTCCGCGAAAAGCCCAGAAAGACTCTAATTTTTGAAAAATCGTGTAGAAGAGTATAAATAGAAGAGGGGAGGCACTTTTATGGGGGCTACATATTGAGATAAAAATGATACAAGGAGAGATTGAAGAACGCAATTTAAGGGAGGAAAACATCAGAAATTCACACTTTGAAGCATTGATTGGAATATGAAGAATATCTTGATGCAAAATTTATTTCTTTTTTACATCTATATTCAAAATTCGGTGATGTATTCAATAACAATTTCTTGTTTTTCTTTTTCATTTATTATGAGTAGCTAAATTTTATATTATGGCGAACAATGTAATCTACTTGAAACTATTTATGTGTTTTATTCAAGATTTTTGTTATTTTATCATACATGTGTTGATTTTGTTACGAAGGTAATGCATTGAATTACTTAATCACTAATTAATGATTTTGTGAATCTTTTACGAATTGAGAGGTGAGTTTGAAATTCAGACCATATAGTAAAATTCGGTATATTAGTATAACGATAGAGATACCTATACTAAACATTGCGATCATCGTGTGAATTTTTAGAACCAATATTTCGTTTAACTAAGGTAAATTCACATAAAGATATGAGATTGAATTAATTAGATATGCTCAACGAGAATTCAAGAGTGGTAAATTGAATACTATAGAAGAATTCAATCGAACACTACATTATGCTCTTGAATCTTGAATTAAGACATAAATGTGATCAATATGTGAAATTGTTCGGTCCTAATATCCGTTCATTATTTGAATTTTCAATCAATCTTTGCGTACATTTTAATTATTTTTAACTGTTTAAATTAAAAATTCACAACAACATATGATTCTTTATTTGATTTCATCAAATAGGAGTTAGAAAAGTCTAATTAAGTTCTAAAGGTTCTCGTGGGAACGATAATTCGGATTCAAATGTTCACTATATTACTTGTTACGATATCGTACACTTGCAATAGAAAAAACGCAACAGTTATTGAACGTATACATCCGTCGAGCTTTATTTGCTGAATCTAAGTATTTAAAAATTAAAAAAAGTATAAAATACCATAAACGAAGATGTCCTTATTTCCTCTTAAATTACCTCGTAAGTTGTGACAGCTCTAAAAATTTTATTTTATTAGTTTTGATTAATATTATTGACTCTAAATCGAATTCACAATCCTTTTGAAATATAATTTTATTATTATTATTATTAATTTGGGTTTAAGGTCTCAATCGAAATAAAGAAATAATTTTTTTATTTTATTTTCTCAACGTAAAGGAAGATTACAATTTAAATTAAGATGTATGTACATTTGAAACTAGTATTCTTTTTCTTCGTTGAACATAGCTTTTGACGACTATAAAAATTATATTTTATTGACCAATATCAATATTCTCGTCTTAGATTGTGCGTAACATTATCTAGTCAATATTTGTTTTAATTTCTTGTTTTAAGTCAAATCTCATAAAAATCTACTTTATCGAAAATATTATAGAGTTCAATGACCACTCGAACTAATTTTAAAATTTAGTGAGTAAAGCATGACAGATGTATAAATTCGTGATGGAGTGTAACATGTTGAAGTTCAATGACCATTTGAAAATATTTTGAAGTTTAATGACTTATTAAAAATGACGAGTAACCGATGAAGTGTAATGTGTTAAAGTTTATGATCACTTAAAAAGGTATTTTAAACATAATGAATAAAGTTTGACGAATGTATATGTTAAGTGCCGAATGAAACATTTTAACTTCTTAATTAATTGGGGTGTGTATATATTCCGGTCCAAATGCTCAACACTGTAGACTGAAGTCTTCAATTTCCAATAAGAAGAGGTCCTCCTAGGGCATATCTGTGAGCTGATTCCATGGACGATCTGACAGCTTACTATAATCCTCCAATTCACCACCCATACTACCAACCTCCACCCCCTCCTCCGCCGCCGGGGGCGGCGCATCCACCTCCTCCTACTGTGGTGGCTCAGCCACTTCTCCACCACCAGCAGTATCAACCCCAATTCATCACCTATGCTCCCCCGGTCTACCCCCAGTCCTCGCACGACCAGCTCCGCACGCTCTTTGTTGCAGGACTCCCCGAAGACGTTAAGCCTCGAGAGATTTACAATCTCTTCCGCGAATTCCCTGGATACGAGTCCTCTCATCTTCGGCCCCCTACCTCGTCTAATAACCAGGTATATACATTTATATCAATTGGCGAGGTTTCGTTGTTTTTTGGTTAGAAAATATTCTTATTAGACGTATTACGTACGTGTAATTCAGTAATTTGGACTTGTATTTAAGGCATTTGACTATTACAATTAATCTTTTTTTTTTTAATTATTGTGGAATTATGTCTTGGAATAATTCTCTGATGATTGAGTGAAATAGAATGAGTACATTCAAATAAATTAAGGACAAAGTTGGAATGAGCTTAGATGAATTTTGTTGCTTGAGTTTGAAGAGGTCAGTGAGAATTGGCTTGAGAAGCACATGAAAACAAAGTACTTAAACTCGTCTGTAGAAGTATTGGGTTCTGAAAAACATAAGCTAACAAATCCATTTGTAAATTTTGAAGATGGGAAAGATCACTTGCCCATGAAAACTCGCTTAGTGCACTAAATCCAATGGACTTTCTCAAGTTGTCGAACAAGAGTTGGTCATAGAATTGTCTATCCACTGACTTTTTTCCTTCAAGATTTTGTTCTTACCCTTTGAATTGTTTAATGTGCCTCTTAAGTTAATCACGTTCGGAGTTTTGACGAGAAATGACCTTTATTGTCTGTTTTATCCCATGAATATATTTTTAATGGTGAAAATCTTTAGGAGAGGCATCATTTTGTTCTGCCCAGTTAATTTATACTTCTTCTTTTAAACTGCATTCTGACGCGTTCTTTATGTTTTGCCAGCCTTTTGCTTTTGCAACTTTTGTGGATCAACAATCAGCAGTCTTGGCATTACATGCTTTGAATGTAAGGATACTCTGCCAGATGCCAATTTTATCATAACATTAGTTGATTTAACATGAAGTCTTTTGTTATTTGTGCAAGAATTCACACATCTGACATCTATATATACCTTTATATGCTTTCTGATATGCTTTGTTTAGATAAGATGTAGAAATGTTTAGAAATTAAAATCTGGTCATTACAATGGAGCAATGTTTAAAAAGGCGTAAATGGATACCGAGGTGTTTCTCTTTCGTGAGTTGAGGCGTAAGCCTCATGCAAAAATAAAAAAATAATATAAAATACCCAAATAAATCAATAAATAACAGATAATCAATCGTCCTACTGCAATGGGGTCTTACTTATAGTTGGAGTTTCTGAGAAATTGCCTTCCTCAACATCGATCTGCCAAGGGTTGTAGTTTGTATCAAAATAAATGCATAGAGTAGAAGAATTGCAGAAAAAAAAAAATTAAAACCAAAGAGTTACCTGCTATAGACTGCTGGTCGCCGGAGTTGGATAGGATGCTGTTTTTGCCTTCTGCTTGTCTTGTTGCGTGGGGCAGAAGAATTGCAGAACTTTGTCCGCCTCTTGGATTGAGTGGCATTGTAATATTTTTGTAATACTGGTGTACAGTAAAGACTTAATGGCCCACTTTTTAATTTTAACTTTCTGAATATTTAAGAGTTACATTTAAGAGTGTACGCTTCAGACATAAAATTATTGAAATCAAGCAGACCTGGGGAAAAAAAAAACCCAGCTTCTCTCTAGCCAGAGGCGATCCAGCCCCCCAGAAAACTCCCAACCTCATACTCTCAAAGACCCATGACCCGCCACCCAAACCTCCTGACCTGTCCTGACCTGGGACCTCCAACCTCCCCCCCCCCGCTTCGGCCTCATGCCACCCATATTGGGTCCCAGACAATTATGCATTCTGAGGCAGGTCGACAAATATGGTATCCTAGTGTTAGAGGTCTTTATCTCCTTTTGCTACTTTACCTTTGTATGGAAGGCAGTACCTCTTTTCTTTACATTTCTTACTTTTCGGAGGTCGGGTTTATGTTCCCTTCCTTGTATTCTTGTGAGTTCCATTTATATTATGGTATGCCACCCTAACCCCATCATCCTTCTTTGTTTGAATCTAAAAATCCACTGAAGATGTGCTGGCGATTTGATTAAAATAAAAAAGGGGGCGCACACTTCACACACATTAGGCATGCACGTGGAGTGGCATGCCTCATTAATGTGACTTGTATGCCTTCCCAAATCATGTTAAAAATTGTGCTTTGAGGCAGATTACTTTCACCTCGATTCGAGGTGCACCTGCCAAATGCATTTTTAAACCACGCAATGAGGGAAGATCACTGCTTCCTAGTAATTGAAAAATGGAAAATGTGCTGGGAAAATGGGAATTTATATAATCTACACAGAAATTATGCTCTTAATCATGGTTTTATTTTGCGATGCTCTTTATAGGGGATGGTATTTGACCTTGAGAAGGGCTCTACCTTATATATTGATCTTGCAAAATCTAATTCTAGAACGAAGCGCTTGAGAGCAGGTAGACTTGAACTCTTGAATCTGTTTTCTTTTTCTTCCGGTTTTTCTTGTTGCGTATATTGGCTGGCCAGTTGTTGATCAAATGAAATGTGATTCTAAACACCCAGATGATGACACACCTGGTTCAGAAAAGAAGCTAAAAGGATCTGCTGCTTTTTCTAGGGACGCTAATCCTGGTAGGATTTGTGTTTTGTTCAGTTATTCAGTACAGATATAACTTACTCATGGTGCACAGTTTATTCTTCTATAATTATGTTTATGATTTTATCCTCTCTCACTCAACCTGCATAGTTTTTATGTTACTGTTAGTGTCTTATGATGAACTAGCTAGTTAGTCACGCAGAGGACACATTATTCTAAGTGCTCACGTTGCACATGTTTTGCACGCTTGGGCACTAGCAGGTGTTGGCAGCGTTCACGTGCCTGGAATGAGTAATTCTGCTTACAACACGATTGGTTATTCATCCACACAAAGGTCATCTGCACTCTTAAGCACATTTTTATTACTTGGCAGTGATTACTTCAATAAGCATGATGAATTTACTTTTTAAAGGTTACTTCTAGCTGAAAGGTTGAGGGCAAAGCAGATGCGCTTGTGATATGCCCTATTCCCTGAAGTTATGAGTATTTATTAGTCTATTATGCTACCAATTGTGAGGCACTTATCTAACTAACATTCTCATATTGCAGTTATGGAAACACTGGTGGCGGAACAGTGAAGGACGCTACTGCAAAATCGGTAATGTCTATTTCCAATATGTTTGCATATCTTTTTCAGTTCATTCAACTTACCATTGTACTTTTTAATTGTTTAATATAGAGGGAAACTGCAGTGGAAAAATGCTTTTGATTGTATACTCATAAAGTCTTAATGTTTGTATATGCTGTTCAGACCTGCTGATTATCTATCTGAAGTTGTTAAGGAATAAATTAAAAGCCACACCAGGATTTATTATTAAGTGCTTGTTTGGCTAAGTTTTTAACTGCGTATAAACAGTGGCTCCCAAAGAATATTTGGTTTAAAGTAGGTAAAAGCTGTGGATTCTACGGAATGGGATAAAAATAGGGTATGACCAGCTTATAAGCAATTATAAGCTTTGCCAAACATGGTATGAGACTGCCACCTGTATGTAAAGACTTTTTGTGGTTTGACTTCTAAAACACATGGAACCATAACAATCTTCCAAAAATTTAAAAATATGAATTATATCAAAGAATGGCAATTTATTAATCGCTCTTCACATAATCAACTTTATTTAAACCTATGTTGCGTGGACTTTGGTTCAGGTGTCATTTATGGGTACAGGGAATTGAATCCTTTTTGCTAAAATTTAGGATATAGGAATACTAAAGGAATCCAAAATTTATACTTGGATACGCTTTTATACATTTTTTAGAAATTAATTTTACATGCAATTTTATTTTTAGGGATATGTATATTTTTTTTGACTAAAATTTAAATAAATTAAAATGTAAATAGTCATGCTTATTTTGGGTAATATCAAATCATATAAATATTTGTGCAAGTTATTGTTCAATCGACTTGATTGAATTTTGTTAAGTGAATTCAGTTGGGCTACATGTAGCATTAAATGGGCTCATTTTCATGCTTTAAAAAGTCGGATAATTTTCCTGCCTTAAAAATTGGTTTTAATGCTTTAAAAATCATGGACCGGCTTCTTCAAAAATTGATTTTAATGCTTTAAAAATTGTAGGGCTATTTTTCTTGAAAATTAATTTTTTTTTTTTTGCTTTACAAATCATGTTTTTGCAATTAGGGTTATATTCCATCAGCTCCATTCTATTCAACCTTCACACTAGCACCAACAGCACCATTCTCTTCCTCCAACTTCAACCTCATTCCATCCTTAGTGACATTTTCTTTCCATCTCCCCTGCTGTATCTTCTTCTTTATTTAGAGGATCCGATACGAATCCACCGTGTATTCATGTCGTGTTGACATGAACACTTCGTCCAAAATGGAGTATGAGCATTGCAAATTTAAACTTACTCTAGGCTCTCTTGTAGTAGGAGTTGTAATTGTCATGGAGGAATACTATAATTAGATATGGAGTGTAACGACTCAAATTTTACCTTTGGAATCATTATACATGTACCGTGCAAGAGTATTTTCATAAACAAAAAATAATAATGTTTTTTTAATATGTGAGGATTTAAAATTAGTTTTAAAAAAAATACAATGAACATTAATAAAATCCTTAACTACATAATTTATTCTTCATTTTTCACCCACGCAAGCACAATCTGCCTCCGATCATCTCGAACCCACCTTTTTAGTTATCTATAAAATGTTTAATATATATATGTGAGACATAAATCTCAGTAAATGAATAATAACGAATTTGATCTCATATTTAAATACGAAAAATCATAACATATATATGGAGACACGGGGAATTAAAATCCGAACTTCGTGGCTATAATTCCCATGCGTAGTTCTATTAAACTGCGATCCTTTGAACTTACACATATAGGACCCCTATCATAATCATAATTTGGATTTCCGTATCATCATATTCATAACATAAATTTTCGTAAATTAAATAATAAAAGAACAATCCGTACTACTACACTTACAGTTGTGTGGAAGAAGATCAAAGTAAATCGAGGAAATCGTCTTGTTAGACTCTCACTCCAAAATTCTTTGGACACCGTGCGTGCTAAATTTTGTAATGTGAAAATGTGTATGTAGAAGATGAGTTGAGAGGAAGAGAGAGATGAAATACAACTTAAGTTGTGTGTGAGTGTACTGGCGTTCATTTCTTTATTAATGCCATATGTTTTTCCATATAAAATATAATCAATCACTTGACTAATTATCCAATTAAATATATTAATAAACATATAATTGCTACTAATAAGATATTGCCGTATAATTGAAATTTTTTATTTAGCGTGTGTTTGACACCCATTTTTGGGAAATTATAAATTTTGGAATAGTGATTAATAGAAGAATGTGTGGTTGAAAAATAATGAAAAGTTTTAGATTTGTGTGTAATATTATCTTATTTGGAGAATGTGTGATTATAATTAAGAAAGAAAAATTTAAAAAAAATTAATGGGTGCCAAACACCCCCTTAATTATGTCAAATTAAATATTCTATCATACTATATAAAAATTTGATATTGCTAATTATAAATACATAAATAATGTTTCTAATTCTTAATAGAAAGTTTCTCTAATTATAGTAATTAACCAATTAATTAGGTTAATTGACATGCAAAATTTATATCGAATCATGCAATCATATTAATCAAAGTACAAATTAAGTGTGTGTTTGTCTCCCATTATTGGGAGAAAAATAGAGTAATTAATAGTATTTCTTGAAAAATGTGTAAGTAAAGTAAATTTATTGATTTATGTGTAGAATATTTTATTGAGTGAATGTGTGGTAAAAAATCTTACTGTAAGACAATTTTTTAGAATAATGGTAGACAAAAAATTTGGTCCCCTCACTTTCAACATCTTACACTAAGGTCCCACAATTCAAGATTAACGACTATTAGGACCTTTTGGGGGTGTTATATGGAGTGTTTATGCTCCTTTGACTTATTGGGAAACCTAAAAATAGTTAGGATTTGTTAGGGAGATGAAAGTCAAAGACTAATTTGGATTCCACAGGACCTGTAAAATGGTTAGGATTTGTTATGATCTTTGTTCTATCTAGTCCCCCCACCCCACCCCACATAATTTCTGCGACCTTACTTTTCTTGCAATAACCTGGAAACTTAGATACCATTTTACATTGCTAAATATTATGGTAATTCAAAACTAATGGCGAGTATGTCCCAAGCCTTGAGACATGCACTTGCTCCCACAAGGCCAACACTTAGATTCTTGACTTTGTCTTTTAGAACTCTATAAGTAGCACTTTGGAACAATCTTTGGCCGTATTAAGTGGAAAACTAATTGGGCTATGATGCTTCCCAGTGAAGGTTGAATCAGATAAGTACCTTGCTTGCATTACAAAAGTAATATTGTTTAGTCACTGTTCTAAAAACAAATGAAGAGAATACCCTGATTTACAATGAGAGTTTGTTGTGTTTTCCTGAAAAAGGCACGGTCTGTCAATGTTGGTGAGAGGAATGATATTTGCTATGTGAGACAATTCTTATCCTCATCAGAATCAAGTGTTTTAGATGGACTAAGACAAATGGATAACTTCGATTTAAAATACTAACATGAAATTAAAATCAAATAAATGTCTTTCTGGCTATAGAATTAAGTTGACTTTAAGATTGCACTTTAATATTACGTAAAAGAAAATAATAAGGATAATATTTAAAATCTTGTGTTAAAATTTGCTAGTAATAATATAGAAAATATGCTTTCTGGAAGATTTATCAATGGATAAAAGCACAGGGCTTCTCATAACGATATTAAATGAAGTATAGTTCTTGTCTGCGATTCTCGGACGCTCCTTTTGGAGGAAGTTCCATGTCATGTAGACACAGATACGGGTGTGGGATCAGAGCCTTTACATCACAAGACAATACGGGAGAGGAGATGAAGGGAGATGTTGCTTTGGGTGGAAGGGGGTGGGTGGTTGAAGTTCGAGGAAGAGAACAGAGCTAGTGGGAAGACTGAAGAGAACGGCGCATGTGAAATCAAAGATTTATAAAACATAAAAGGTGACTTTAAAGAAATCTGTCCATGATTTTTAAAGCATGAAAAGCTGTTTTAGAGAAACCCTGCCCACAATTTTTAAAGAATTAAAAGCTTGCTGATTTGATTGTTTATTGGTTTTACTTTGCTTGTTAGTGTACCGACTGTATAAGCAAATTGTGGTTTTTTTAGGCAAAAGATTACAAATTTGATTGTTTATTGATTTTGCATTGCTTGTAACGGTACCAACTACCAACTGTTTACTTTGAACTCCTCTGTTTAACCATGGATTTCCATGTTCAAATTGGCATTATTTTAGGTTAGTGGGTTTGGCTTTTCACTCTTTTCCCCTTTTGTCCATTAGGGAAGCAATGCATTAAACAAAGTACATTTTGAGATTTCATTTTTCTATACACTCTCTCTGTTTATATGCATCTCTACCATCCATGGATAGAATCTCTACCATCCATGGATAGACTTTCCAACTTCCATTATAATGCTGAAAATATCAGATACTATGCTCTCCCTTGGTCCCTCTCTTAAGCCTTCTCAGTGACTATTGCCCCTCTTTTCTTCCCAAGATCCGCTATGGGCACTGATGAATGCCAATTTTGAACAACTCAGCAAATATTAAGAACAGGACAAACAATAGTCTTAATGACTGGCTGCCCCCAAAATATAATTATCTGAACAAAAACTGAAATCTCACAGAAGCTGATTAGACCAACGTACATGTAAAGGGGTTCCTTGCTATGATTCAAAACTTCAACTTAACAAATCGTAGTGGATTATGGGTTAGAAAATTCACTATCCATAAAAATAGCATCTCTTCAAAGAAACCCACATCTAAACAAAAATTATGAAACATGAAAAGAAATCCGCCAACATTTTCAACGGCAGTTGGAAGGGGTATTGGCTTATGCTATGTGTCTAGGACAGGTGGCGACATGGTTTTGGTATGTGGTTGGAGGGGAATAATGGACAGAGGATGGGTCAATGGTAGGGAGAGAGAAGAAAAACCTAAAAATAAACACCGTAGCACCCACCCCCATCTCCAGCTGTTACAGTTGCTGTAGAGGGTAGCAGGCCCCCCTGAATTGTAAGCTGTGAGGGTTTGATGAACATATGAAAGTTGTCTTGATGTGTGGTTGAAGGGGGAGAATGGAGGCAGTATTGGTCACTTTGAAGCGTGTGCGCGTGCGAGAGAGAGAGAGAGAGAGATTGGTGGTGAAAATGAAAGCAGAAGAGGTAAGTATGCCTAGAATGAGCTTGGGGTTTCGAAGTATTGAAGAGGACTATTCTCTGTCCATGTTACTTTTATATATTTCATTTTTGTTGGGGGGGTTTGAGGAAAGTAAACATTTTTTAAAAGGTAAGGATATTAAAATTGAATTGATGGGAGTGTCAATTCTTTCTAGCTTTCAATTTTTTGTCCAGTTACAAGACATTAATTACTTAATGAGAATTTGCCAATCTGAGTTAATTTTCAAGGTTGACCTGTACACCATTCTAATACTTCTTTCAAAACCTTGTCTTCGCAGAACAATCCTCCTTGCCCCACACTCTTTGTGGCTAATCTGGGTCCAACCTGCTCAGAACAGGAACTGATCCAAGTATTTTCAAGGTTTCGGGAACTCTCTTCTTTGTGCTTTTTCAGACATGAAAACCTAGAATATTATGGGAGTATTTACTTGCTTTTGTCCTCCTTAGATGTCGTGGATTTATAAAATTGAAGATGCAGAGCACCTATGGAGCTCCTGTTTCATTTGTTGACTTTCAGGTATGCAACTTCTCTCGGCAATTTTAAGCTAACAATAATCGTGGATTTCGGTTAGTTACTTCCCATGAATGTTGGCCTGATCTTTTCAATATTTTTATCTGGAGAAGTGGACTTAATGTGTTGTGAGAGTAGCTAGTGAGGTTGACTATCAGAGCACAGAATCTATTCCTTGGTTAGATTTGAAGGATGTTAGACAAACCCTCGTTAGATAAAAGATGTAAATGCAGATGACTTGCTGTATGTGCTTGCATTCCTGAGTACAAGTGAAGCGAAGTTGGCTGTGTTAAATTTGCATAACTCAACACTATTTGTCCAATATTTAAAATTGTAGTCACATACTCTAAAATTAATGCATTATTTGCATACACACAATAATTTGTTGCTCAGAGCATTATTAATATTTTTCTCAGACTTATCCGATTATGCGTTACAGTACGTCTCATTTTCCATTTTTTATTCTGTAATTTCTCATTTAGAATAATTTTTGACATGCATTTTGCAGATATAGTTGATACTTCTGCACAAATCGACTTAGTTTTGCTTCACATATTGCTCAAACTAATTTAGAATATGAAGAAGGCAGTTAACAAGGTTCATAATGTGTTCTGAACGGAAGGAATGATGGTGTGTAATATGCTTATTGCTGTGTAGGGATCATAACTGAGATGTGAAAGGGAATCCTTTACTTTTAATGGCATGTAAAATAGATCTCTCAGTGGACTTCGAAATGAGTTATGACTTGTATTTCTGTTCTTTATGAGATCATGGGTGATTCTGCCTACCGCTTCAATGCTGTCCCTTTTGCCAATTGTAATATTGATTTACTGGTCATGGCAATCGCTAGCAAATTATGAGACGAGTAGTATGAGGGAATGGACTCAGTAGAAGCCTGCAAGCTAGATTTTTTCTAGTTACAATATATGTAAATATGATGATTTTGATATCTGGGATCTAACTTCTGGAGCTAGGTTTCATTGAGTTCATTATTCTATTTGTTTATTTCGGAAATTATGACACGAGTTTTATGAGGGAATAGACTCTGTAAAAGCCTGAAACCTAGTTTTTTTTTCTAGTTATTACTTTGGTGTAAATAAGATGATTTTGGTATCTGGAATGTAACCTCTGGAGCTAGGTTTCTTTGTATTCTGATTTCATGTTCAGCATTCTTCACTCTGTTATGTATAATTTGAAGTGAACATGTGCAGGATACTGCCAGTTCAACTGAAGCACTAAATCATCTACAAGGCACTATTCTCTACTCTTCACCATCTGGTGAGGGGATGCGGCTGGAGTATCCTTTTGAACTAGTTTCTTGTTTTCCCAAGTTACCTTCTACTGCTTGTTTTTCTATTTCAATTTAAGCCTTTTAAAGTGCCATTAGTTTTTCACTTAACAATAAACTTAGGTATGCAAAGTCACGGATGGGAATGCGCAGTAAGAAGTCAAGGTGAATGAAAAATATATTTAAGCTAACGAAAAAGTTGAGCTACTCTCCGTCAGCAATTGGTCAAGAAGCCATCACTCATCATATCTACTCGTTTGAAATGTTTGTAACTTTTTTCTTCAATGTAAGACCATGCCAATTTCAGGGATTATGACCTTATATATAAGAGCAGATTTCATTTGTATTTTAATTTATCTTTTATGTTGTTCTGCTGTTTCTTTTTCCTGTTATGTTATCATGTCAGGCAGGGGTCTGTGATGATGTAACATAGCTGCAAGTTTCTACGAGGTTTGAGCACTGAAATTTTCAATTGGCTCAAAGACAATGGAACATTTTAGCTCTCCTGTGAAGCCTACGGAATCTATTGGTGTCAAAATGGACTGGTCTTTAAGGCCTGTGGTAACCCGACACTGGCTGTTATGGGCTGGGCCATACCCTAAGTCAAGCCATGTTGGCTCACGGTCTGAAAAAATAGAGCAATGGTTCTCTAGGAGGCAGGCCTGTGTACTTGTTAATCATACATTCTCTTCAAAATTACTATTGAAAATTTTATTTTTCTCAAATAATGATTGTCAAACAGCTGCTAACTAACTTGGCTTGGCTGTGTCACAATACTATGGTCAGGCCAAGCCGATGCATGTAGTGGAGGAACTAGATCAGATATTAGGGTTGGTTGAAGTTTGAAAAAAGTTGCAAATTCTGATGGAAAAGGTACCTCAATTTAGCCTTTGCTCCTTGAGCGTCAATTAAGGAGGGATTTGATTAACTACGTCTAAACCCACAGTAAAGCAAATTTTCCTGCATTTGCTGTTTGATTCATGGACATATTTTATGTCATGTACGCGACTCAACTTGTTATTTTCGAACGAATATCTAGTGGTTCATGCTGTGTTCATATATTAGGTCAAAGAATGGCGTTGGAGGAGGAATACAAGTTGACATGATTTGGAGAAGTTTTGAAGTGAAAATTAGTTTACTCAATTTGAACCTCTCGACTCACCTAGGATATGTACGTCCTTTTGTTTCTAAAGAATGTCCTTTGTCGGATGGATGTTGGTCCAACCTATACAAAGGGCATCAAAGCTCCTTTACTAGGTTGGAGCTACTTTTTGGGTTCGTAAAATGCTCTCTTAAAATTTTTGCCCAAGACCTTCAAGTAAGTCGAGTCGTCTGTACTTTTAGCTACTTGAATTAACTATTCTCCGAAGATTTTGAACTGAGATCGGTGACCCATGGATTGTTCTATTGGTAGGTAACATTCCTAGAGAATTCTTCTAAGAAGATTGCTTGAGACGGCGTTCTCGAATCTGCATTTTTGCAGTATTTATCTTGGCTTATTCATTTTGTCATACGGGGATTTAATCTGTTGGGGAAATGGTCTACTGTGCCCAAATTCTCGCTTGTTCTTAATTGTTATAATCAATGACTGCACTTTGTTGTCAATCTATGTTGTTTTTAAGTGAAGATGCTAATATGATTTTTCGCACTTCCAAAATTATCGAGCATGCTTTGTACATCTAATTGGATGAGACTAGACGACATAGAATAAACAAATTCTATTCATATACTCTGATCGTAATCTTGTTTAACTTTTCAATTCCGTGTATACCATATCGATTTGTTACCGACTAGTTTAATGTATCAAAAAATACTTCAGAAGGAAATACGAATCGATATCTCATTAGCATGTCGTGGTCTGTTCCCAATAATTGAATAAATAATGGGGTCCCATTTTATGCGATATGGTGTGGATTTTTTATTAAATTATTCTGTGCTGTTTTAAATATTGTAATAAACTAAGTTAATTAATATCTATAATGACATTTGTCTGCCAAGGTTTTAAAATATTGCAATTAATTAACATCTATAATGACATTTGTCTGCCAATTTTTGTCAAACTTGGCAGGAGAAAAGAGCATTACACGACTGAATTTATTATTCTTGCCATTGTTTTCTTTGCCGACTTTTGACTTTTTTTTTTCTTTTTCTAATTTTCCTTTTTAATCTATATAGCATGTGTCATGTTTGGCTATACTTAAATCATTTACTAATAATTAAATAAATTCATTGACACTAAATAATTTTTGGTTTCATGAGAAATAAATTATCTATAATTAAATATCAAATCAAGTGAAAATCATTTTTTGAACGATTTTAACCCTACTACAATTCAATTATTTCAATAATACATTAGTTTTCGTTTTTCAATATGTAATAAATACTATAAAATTCTCGTCATGTATTAATTTCGTGTTAATAATTCTCAATTAATTAACATTCACATTAATCTAGATACAATGGATCTTGATATATATGAATTTAGAGTTATTATAGGTGAATTTATTTATATTTATGTATCTATGAATTTTAATGGGTGTTTAAATTCTTATATTGACAGTTAATTCTTATGTATCAAATGTAGTATAAAGAAAATTGCTCATTTGTAGTATTTCACCATCACAAAAAAAAATTGAATCATAGAAGTTGAGTTTTGAGAGTATAATTTTATTCTTTTACATTCCTATCCTAAGATTTTCTTTAGTTCGTTTGAAATTCTTCAAATCCGCCCAATAAATTGATATCGAATATTACTTTTACAACTCTTATAAAGTATTTCAAATAACGTACAATGCACGTTCAACTTTGACCAGTAATTCTAAAAGTGAGATGAGTTACTTTCAATTTTTTTATTTTTACTCGGAGTATTAAATGTGTATTGTATAAATATTTTTGGATTTCAAATTTGTATTGAAGTGAATATTGGTCTTTATACATGTTTAGATAAATTATTATTCTTACTTAGGAGAAAAAAAAGGGTTAGGGTTCGTTTGATTGCAAGGTGGAAAATGGGTGAAAAGAAAATGAATTTCAGGAAATTTAATTGCTTAGAAATTGTTTTATTGAGAATTGTAATTAATTGTGTTTGATTGGTATAATTTTTCACTTGAAAAAGGTTGAAAGTTTGGTATCTGTTTGACTTTATTTTTTATGGAAATTGTCCATTAAAATGATAATTTTTTTACCATTGGATCTAAACTTTGTTTCAATTTCCAAATTAAAAAAAAAAAAAAAAATTTCAAAAAATTTCTATACCGAATACCATTCGTTTGACTTTGTTTTCTATGGAAATTATCAATAAAAGTGATAAATTTTTTTACCATTGTATTTAGAATTTTTTTCAATTGTAAAAAAAAAAAAATTTAAATTTTTTAATAAAAAATAAAGCAATTTCATTTTGACAAGAAAATGGATTCCCACCACTTTGGCAAGAAAGTCAATTCCTAAAAAATGTGAAAAATGGGTTGATGTGACACAAGTTAAGGAAATGCAATTCCATGGCAAACTTTGTCAATCAAACAAGTCAAAAAGTGAGAAATGGAATTCAATTTCTATTTTCTTTGAAAAATTAAACTTATCAAATACAACTTTAGAGTAACAAGAAGGTTTGTTTACTCAAGCATTACTTCCTTAAGATTAGTGGAAAATGGGCGTCGATGGCTTTGCTTCTTTAAGAAATCAACATTTTGAAACAGTCGATATTATTGAATAAAACTATCCAGAAAGAAGCCACATTTGACTCTTTTTTTTTTTTTCTCTCCTTTTAAACTTAAGCCAAACGTGATACTTTGCTATGATAATCTCTTTGCAAAATTAGAAATATGTCATTATCTTGAATTGAGGCGGAAGAAAATCCTTTAAATTTAAGGCAATTGACCATTGAATTGTTTTTCCACAAGCGTTGGTGACTAACTTGGCAGTTAAGACTAGAACCAAATCATTAGTCATATTATTAATGATGTTTTGACTTCAAGGCCATATAGGAGGTCCGAAAAGTCAAATGGCATCCTAAGCCACAAACGAAAGACACGAACGAGCCTAGTATTCATGCATGCACTCGCCGTTAGAGTTGAGTGGAGTCGAAACGAAATCTAGACCAACAACTATAGTTGAATATGATTATATTTCAATTTTTTACTTCACGATTTTTGAGATCAGGGAGCCCATTCTCTCGCAAACCAAGGCCGATTGGTATCAATCTTGATTTGTGAGAGTTAACTACTGTTGATTTTTCAATAAAAAACGTTGATTATGTGATATTCATCACTATGGCAGTATCGATGGGATATCATAATCATCTTAATGCTAAGGAAACTAATGAGAATTTTTTTTGGGTATTTGTAAATTCATTTTTAGACGAGTTCATTTAGCAACCTCGTTCGTATAGTCATTATCTGAGCTTGGGTTGAAAATGTATCATCCTTAAAATTATTGCTTGAGAAACATGAACTAAAGGTATGTTTATTAATATATACATGACATGGTAAAAATCAATTTACCTATGTATAAGATATGCAAGGATCTGGCACTGGCAGCAACATTGACAGGAGGCACAAAATCTTCAGGTCCTAGCAAATCTCTACATGTTGTACAAAAAATTTCTTCGTCGTCAACTTAAAGTTGGATTGACCAATAACTCCACTTTCTATGCATAAAATATAAGTTTCTGAGTATCATCACGTAGTTTGCCTGGACAGAAATGAAGCGACAATTCAATACAATTACTTTTTGTCCTTTTCAACTTGGAAAAATTTATTATTGAGTCTTGGAGATTTAACTTAATATGTCAATCTCATTGAGAGGGGTTAATTTCACAAACGGTCACTCAATTTTACATGCGCTTTCACAAATGATCACTGAAATTTAAATTTCTTTCACAAACGATCACTGAAGGGCCGTTATGATTATAATTCAAACTTAAATGACTAAAACACGTGAACAAATAACCTTGAGAACCTCAAGTGCAAACATCATCAAAAACCTTCCCCCAAAACCATTTTCAGCCACCACTTTAGGACAAAATTCCACCACTTCTCGGCCACCAAAATTATTGGACCAACACATTACCTTGAAGCCCTCGCTGCCCTCTACGCAACCCACCCAAGATCGCCCCTAACTCCGGCAGATTTGGCCGAAATTTCTTCCCAAGTGGGCCGCTCGCACAGTACAAAACTGCCGGCGCCATTTTGGGACGAAATTCCACCACTTTTCGAACACCAAAACACCGGACCAACACACCACTTTGAAACCCTCGCTTTCTTCTACGCAACCCACCCAAGAATCGCCCCTAACTCCGACGGGTTTGGCCGAAATTTCGTCCCAAAGTGGCATGTAAAATTGAGTCACCGTTTGTGCAAGTTTTAAAATTTAGTAACCGTTTTGTAATTTTGATGTAAATTTAGTGACCATTTGTGAAATTAACCCCATTGAGAGACATAACTCATGCCCATAATTGAGGTTAAATAATTAAAATGACTTCTCACAAGGTTTAGCAAGATTTGAGATGACTTATCGCAATTTCGATGAAGAGTAAGAACACAACCACGCAAGTAAGTTGAGATGAGGTCTAAAACCACCCTTGAATTCATCGACAATAGAGAGCCTTTAGGGTTGAGTAATTTTAGGTTTGGTGAATGATAACTAAATTTGTAAATAACGTAAGACATTATTAAGGTTCCCTTTTCTTTTACTTTTTCCCAAACAATGCCATGAATTCATGATCAAGATTTGGTGACATTATTATTGCACCAACCTCATCTGTCTGTATAAAGAGCTCCTCAAGAAAAGGGTCATTCTTTGATAATATTCTTTTGACGATCACGTGTGTACATTGATTTCAATCTCTCTTTTTTTCTATTTAATTATTATTAATTAGAGATGGATTAATTATATTTTCTTTATTTTTTTTAAAAAAAATGCATTTGAAAATATAAACCCCGTAATCTTATCTTTTATCCTTCGAAGAAAGAACTGAAATTTTAACCGATTCGCATTTTTTAAAAATATATATGCATTTTAAAATGTATTGGAAGATTTTAAAAATAAAGAAAAATGTGTTCTTGGTCTTAATAAAAGAATCTTATTTTATAACTCATACTCCACAAACTTTTCAAAGAAAAATGTATTATTAAGAATAGAAGTATTAACTTTAACATTACAAATAGATAATTTCTGAAAAATATAAAATTGTATATCTATTAATTTATAAATTAAAACCCTGTTTGATGCACACTATTAAGTGGAGAATGCATTTTAAATAGTGATTTGATGAGAAATATGTTGTTGAAAAATAAAGAAAGGTTTCGGATTTGCGTGTAACATTATTTTATTGAAAAATGTGTGGTTGAAAATGAATTTTGAAAAAAATGAATTTTTGTAAAAATGTTGATCAAACATGGCGTTAGTGTATATTTCAATAGAAGAAATACAAGCAATATATTTAACAATTTTTGCATGCAATATAATTCAATATGCAAACATATTATAATATCGACTCATTTGATATTACTATAAACATGAGATAATATTAAAAACAAAGAAAACTTATTTTATAAATGCGAGTTTAAAATGATTTTAGTTACTACGAAAACTTATTTATAATGTCAATGTTTAGTTTGTTTTTATAGAAATGTAATTTTATAGTCATAGTGTACAAACATTTATGTAATCACGAGATCGAACACGTCAAGTTCGATCAAGAATGATTGTATGACAAATCAATATAAGACAATTAACTCGAGTTACATGCAGATCAAGAATGATTGTATGACAAATCAAATATAAGACAATTAACTCGATTTACATGCAAATCGAAGTTGAACTCTGAACCTCTCAATTTTTTTGTGAAAGTCTCTTTTAAATGATCAGGAAAAATCTAAAAACCATACATATAACATAAAATAAAATAAAATAAATAAATAAATATATATATATATATATTCGAAAAAAACAAAAATAAAAAAATTGGATGGTACCCAAAGTCAAAATAAGAGTGGTATCTATCCATCCACCGACTTACCGACTCTCCAATTTTGGTCCTATAAATAAAGCGACAAATGCTTTCTCCATCCAACAAATTAAAATTATTATTCAATTAATTTCTCTCTCCTCACCATAATACCAAATGACAACTACTTTTTTTAATATTTTATTCAATTCCCACAAATATCTTTTCATTTTCTTGGTTTCTTCCATTATATCTCTTCGAGCCAATCAATATGAAAACAACAGCTTTTGCAATTTGCAAACGAGGGACAACTTTGCACTATTGGTCCCTGATCTATTTTAAGAGTATGATATTGGTTTTCAACTTATAAAAAAACAATGTTTTAAAAATCATTAGCATGACCCAGAAAATGTGAAGGACCAAGGGTCACTTGAAAATATAGAACGTATTAAAATAACCTAAGAATTGGTCAGTATCAGCCTATTCACGCCAGATTTTGTATTTTCCCTGTTGAATCAGATGTTGTCGTCCGTCGGCAACACTAATAAAGAAGAGTAAATTGATCTTATTCACTTTCTAACAGTTTAAATTATGATGTAACTTTCATAAAATCATTTTTCACTTCAAATTTTTAGACACCGTCCAATTGAAGGAATAAAATTTGGATTTATAAAATTAGATATATAAAGGCCACGAGATGATTTAACAAAGATCTAAACATTTTTCATCATTAGTTATTAATTATGCTATAATAATGAAGTTTTAATATCAACTAGCAAAAATTTAAAAGTTTGGGACAAACTTACTACTCACACAATAAATTGAGCACCTATAGTGAATTTTTCACAATAGAGAGAGAAAAAAAAGATTTGTGCACCTGCAAACTAGCCCAAAAAGGGGTTTACATGGCGGCGAACCACTCATTTTGTGAGGTAACAGTAAAACCCAACCTTATCTAATCCTCGTCTAGACGCGCTCTTTAGAATACTGAATAACATCAAATCATATCGAAAAATCCTTAGCACACTCGTCATCCAAGTATTTCAAAATGTTAAGTAAAAAGTGTACGTCTAATTGTCTAAGTGAGAGTTTAAAAAAAATCCATCGAATTTATAGTCCATGTTTGATTTAGTTAAAAATCATATTTTTAGTAAGTTTAAAAAAAAAAATTAATGATACGTATCGTTAAAAAAATTAATAAAAATTACGAATTTCATAAAATATATTATTAACATTAATTTTTATCAATTTTTTAAAACTAAATCAAAGGGACATAATTAGATCCCTATATAACAAATATTTATATAGAGGGAAAGATTATTGTGTCGGTGTATTTTTGTAAGTTATTATTTTCCTCGTAGAATTGCTTTTAAGATAACAACATATGACAACGACCTTAATGCTCAAGTAGGCTGCCAAAGGTGCAACGCCAACGCCACAACTCCCTCAGCCCTCTTCTTTCTCTCTCTATACCCCTTTCTTGGATTCTGTCTTATATATGGAGAGCGCAACAGTATCTATATAGAGAGAGAAATAATATTATTATACACGAGAGAGAAATGGAGAGCAGCGGCGGAGGTGGTGGTGCCGCTGCAGGAGGGAGGAGCAGTTCAACGGCGGGGAATAAGAGAAAAAACGAGAAGCCATATAAAGGTATAAGGATGCGTAAATGGGGGAAGTGGGTGGCGGAGATTAGAGAACCAAATAAAAGATCAAGAATTTGGCTAGGATCTTATTCCACAGCGGTGGCGGCAGCGAGGGCCTATGACACAGCCGTGTACTGTCTCCGGGGACCATCTGCCAAGCTGAATTTCCCAGATGAAATCGCTGCCAGTGGACTTAAAGATCTGTCCGCGGCGGCGATTCGGCAGTTGGCGTCGGAGGTTGGTGCCAGAGTTGATGCTCTTCAGTGTAATTCCATTATTACCACACAATCGAAGGACCATGTAAATCCGTCTTTGCAACCTTCTTGGTTTCAGGAGAAGGTTGACTTGAACCAGAAGCCCAAGCCGGAACCCGATGATCCAAGTCTTGATTACTGGTGAATATTTGGCACGTTGTACGACTCGTCTGTACTCGACTCGACTCGACTGGATATTGAGCAAAATTTTAACTTTTTTAGTCCGTCCAGTAAAATCTAATCTACTTTCTCAAATATGTTATTAAATGCTTTTCAGGGAATCATAGAGAAGGTTTACTCGAACTAGAAGTCCGAACTCGAAGAACAAAGTCTTGATTGACTGTGAATGTTAGTACGCTGTAATGAACACTACAATCAACGAAATTTTTACTTTCCATCTTTTCAGAGCGTATTATTTTTCAATCTGCTTACTAAATATGTTATTATTAATGACAGTATCATAAGGTTAATCGTACTTATTAATTTTATCGAGTATTTCGTGCCAAACACATCAGTAGTAATTTACATGGTTTGATGATTGAGGGAGTGTGTGCGCAAGTTGGGGAAGTTGGGTTGGGTGTCCATGAGGGAACAACAATGGACCTCCTATTTGCCGGGGTTTGGTGCAAGTAGCTGTTTCCTAACTGCAAAAAAGTAGTTAGATTTTTATTCGAATAAGTAATTATTTTCGTGGTTCTCTACAGTTGTAGATGACGAGGATTCTTGATACCATATTAGATGTAGCCAAACGATCGACACGGGACGAGAGTTTATTGTCATTTAATGTTTGTAAAAGTGGGTTGGGTTACACTATATGCACATAATGTGCTCCTAGAGGTGTAAAGAATAAGTGGGGTGCTGCATACTCATAATTGAGATCATGATTCGAGTTTTTTTAACTCCTTTGTCCTAGCTAGTTTGGAGAGGTAGAATGTGTTGGATTAACTTTTCACTTTTTCATATCAGAATTCACATAATTCTTTTTAAATTTACTGTATCAGATGGTTAAAATGTCTTAAACTCGTTACATACTGTGACGTGTTTTATTTTTGGACGATCACTCGAGTCTCTTCAAAGATGGTCAGGACCTACTCCTCGATGCATGTATATTTCCTATGTTTGATTTTGTGAAAGCAGGACTTTCCATCAATCAATGGTGTATGCCAGTGTGTTCACATAGGAGTTGGGAAAATGCCTTTCTTTGGCTACGTTGACTTTAAATTGCATGCTTGACTTTTTTGTTTCTATCACGTTCTATTCATGGCAATATTTGTTGATAAACTTCGAGATAATTGGACATTCTGAAACATTAATAATTTGATGTATTGCATCAATTTCCAATTATATGCATTTATTGGATTAAAAAAATTTCGAAAATGTATTCATCTCGAATTTAAATAATCTAATAATATTTAACTGAGTGACGGAAGTTTGTTTGTGCACTAGTCGAGTTTTCTCTAGCAATAATATTATTCATAGTCAGCGATTATAGTAGTCAATCTATGTGACGTTCTACGTGACATAAATTTAATCATATCATTTTTAATAGCACGCAGTTTTTTCATCTTTCCTAAAATTCCAAAATCAAATCTCCAAATCAGTAGATTCTTCACCAAATGGCCAAAGACCACCCAACGATCTGCTCTCCGCCGACAGTTGGCCGCTGATGTATCGCTAAAGTTGGTCGTTGGTGTTGTAACCAACAAGAAATCGGTGTGTGATCTCTATTGCTCCGTCAAGATAAAGTTATATATGCGGTCCTTTAATTTGTGAATTATTTACTAAGGAATTTGATGAAAATGGACGTCTCAGATTTGAATGATGTTCTGGGACCAATTTCTTGTTCGTTAAAATAAAGCAATTTTTTCAACAACTTTTATCGTAAATAACTTGACAAATTAAAGGACCACATATATAACTTTATCTTGACAGAGCAATAGAGATCGGACACCGATTTCTTATTGGTTACAACACCAACGGCTAAGTGTCGAGATACACCGGCTACCAACTTTCGGTAGAGAGTAGATGCGGTGGGTGGTCTTTGGCCATTTGGGGAAGAATCCATCGATTTGGAAACGCAATTTGGGAAAAGATGAAAGACATTGGTTGAGAGGCGATTTTGGGATTTTAGGGGTGATGAGAAAACTGAGTGCGTGGAGAGATGAAATTCTATTGACATTTTTTTTATATTATTAAAAATTGAGTAATTAAATGTGCGTAGTTACGATGTTACGTAAACTGACTACTATAGTCACTCATTATGAATGGCATTATTCGAATTTTAACGTTCTATCCAGTGGCAGGGAGGTGGAGCCAATAGGGTCCTCGACTCTCATTCAAATTTGAGATTTCTCTCTCTCTCTCTCTCTCTCTCTCTCTATTTTAGTCAAATTAGATTTCCACTTAATTCGGGACACCGCACTTATTGCATAAGATCAAAATAAGATTTGACTTGTTAGATATTAAACAAGTTCAATGAACCTCGCAGACGAATTAAAGTTTTTTTTTTTTTAAGTCACTGTGCTACTATTTTATTTTTTCTTCAAGATTACAACCTTGTATGGGAGAGATTAAAATTGGATTAAAATTGAAAATATAGTCGTTATTGTTGACTTTTATTAGACGAGTGGGACCCAATAACGGCCATATTTTCAATTTTAATTGACTTTTAATCCCTCCCGAACGGGGCCTTAAATACAACTGTTACAGAAACGGAACTTATTAGGGCTTGTGTGGGAGGGATTAAAATCAGATTAAAATTGAAAATATGGCCGTTATTGTTGACTTTTATTAGACGAGTGGGGTCCAATAACGGCCATATTTTCAATTTTAATTGACTTTTGATCCCTCCCGGACAAGGCCTTAGGTAGGAATTAATACTGTTGTTCAAAATTTTATATTTTTCAAGAGTAAATTAATGTTATAGTCAATAATGGTTGACGAACCATTGTAAGGAGGGTATTATAGACTTTCCAAAATAAGTTCGCTCAATTTGTAGTACCATAATAAGGGTATTTTAGACTTTTTAGAATATAAGAGGACTTATGTAATTAATTTCCAGTCCGGTTCTAAAAAAAATTAAAAATCAGAATTGAGAACTAAAAATCAATCGGGTCCGAGTTGATTTTTGATTTCTGGATTGGAACCATGGATACCCGACTCTAAAATCAAAAATTTCATTTTTCATATATATATATTTTTAAAAAATTATTCACTCTGACATAATGATCCCAACCTAACAAGTGGAAGTTTGCAAGGTCCAATTAATGCTCGACTCAAGTATCCTCATTTATTTGAATAATTAAATTATATAACTTTTGTTCACAGACATTCCTAACCTTACTTCAAAGTGTTGCCAGCCTTACAAACCTCTTTTAAGGTGTCGCGTGCAGAGCCACGTCCGAAAATGAATGCTATTATGTTAAATATTGGATGATATTTGGCAACATGTTTGTACTTGATTAAGAAGAAAATGTTTATTAGCACAAAACATCTTTACGTTTCATTTTTTTTTTTTTTTGCATTCTTGCCCTTATTTCAACGTTTCATTGTGGAAACGTCCTTCCGTCTATCTGCCTTGAGTTTTACCATTAAACGCTTACCTGGACTCCCTTTTAATTTGAAACTAGAAGGGCAAAATGGTCAGGCCACTTCACAAGCCTCTTCTTCCTCATAACACGCACGATTCATCTTCCATCTTCTCCACTGTTCACGTTCCATAGGCACCCACTTTCTTCATCCTCTTCTCGAATTATCTTCAATAACTCCTCTCGTAGTAGGATATTATTTGCGCGCAGTGGAGGGCGAACGGAGAAAAGATAATAGTTCACCGTTGGTCCATTATTTTTTAATTTTTTAGTTCGAAATTTCAAGTTTCGAGTAATTGAGGCTTCCTTGATATTTTTTATGGAATATATTCTTGTTTTTCACAGGATATTTTATCGAATGAAAATGCTTCCTCCGTTTATCAGAGAACCCGATGACGATATACCCAAATACAATATAAACGATGTCCGTCCATTATCATTGTTGTCACGTCATTAATGTCGTTGCTCTTTGGAATTACAGTTTGGAACTCTATTGAAATGGGATTTGGGAAAAGTCCTCCAACACCGAGAGGATTATTTTTTGGGGTTTGTAGTTATTCTTCTGAAATTTGCATGACAGTGGTTTAGCAGTTGAAATTTCTGTAGTTTTGGTTGGGTTTTGAGCATTGTGTGATGTTTAGTCCATTATTGCCTTGATTTGACCAGTGTGTGTTTCCTTATTTCCACCTTTCACTCATCTCCCCATTTCTTTCATGCAGGTGCAAAATTCTAGCTACTTCACTGTTGAATTGCATCACAGAGGCAACTTCCATGCCAAGTCGAACAATTTGGCATACGAACACGGATTTGTGATTTTCTTCAATTTCTTCCATGCCTCACTATTTACGAAAGCAAATTTGATGAAGTTCTTAAATGCAGTTGGTCATGATTTGATGTTGGAATTTAGTACAAAAAATGAAGAAGGAGTTTAGGGAAGGGGTTGAGTAGATTGGAGAGTGAGAATGATATCAAAGAAATGCTTAGGAATAGAGATGGGCATCCAGTTGTGCAGATGTATGTTGTAGCCCCATTGCAATTGCATGCATTGCCATTGCATGCATCGATCTTAGAAGTTGATACGCAATGCAATGAACCACCAACATTTGAAGGTTTTTATGTACCTTCTGTGGAAGAGAATGAGGGTGGAGAGCCTAAAATTGATTGGTCAGATCATTTTTTTCATGAAAATGCTGAAGTGTTGTGGTCACATTGCGAGGAAAGCCTCCAATACCATTATGAAGAAGATCAAAATGTGGGTGATATTGGTGTTGAAGATGATGAAGTCAGGTTTAAAGCTCATAATGACGAACAAAGTAGGGGAGATGAGGTTGAAGGTTTGGTAGTATTTTATTACGAGGTTGAGGATCAGCAGGCTTTTGATGCTGAAATCGAGAATGAAAGGGTTAATTTTGATTTTGGATTCGGTGTGGCAGATGAGCATTAGGATAGGGGTTCGGATACCGACTATGGGGACTCGAACAAGTTGTGAAGCACTGATAGTACGGATGAGGACGATACAACTTCAACAAGAAGGGCTTCGGTTGATGCTTTCAATTCAAGGACTTATATAGAGGATCCAAAGTTCAGACGAGGTAAGTTCAACACAATCTTTACCTTACTATTAACCTTCCTTCTATGAATGACTGATATGATTCCATTTTCTAATTGTTAGTGTTTGTATTTGAGTCCAAGTCTTTGTTGAGGGCTGTCATCACTTCGTTTTCAGTTAGAAGCAATAGAGATTAAATACAAGAAAGTCGATGCTTTGAGATTGAGAGCCAAGTGTAAGGGAGACTGTCCATGAGTGTTGTATGCTACGAAGGAGCATAACAAAACTAGTTAGGTATCAAAACATATGTGTACGAGCATATGTGCCCGTGGTACACAAGAATTTTAGAGTAAGCTCCACTTATTTAGTAGATAGATATTTATTTGATTGGAGGTCTGAACAAAATACGTCGGTGAGCACATTCATGGAGAGGGTGAAAAGGGATGGTTTCGGTGATATCTCATATTGGCAAGTTTACAGAACAAAGGAGAAATCACTTGAAAAGATAAGGGGGATTGTGGTGGACGATTACAAAGTATTGTGGGATTACTGTGAAGAGTTGAAGAGGATAAATAGTAGGACCACTACTTTTTTTGAGGGTGTTGCTGGAGAGTTCAGACGTTTGTATATTTGCCTTGGAGCGTTGAATGAGGGTTTCATTAGGGGGTGTAGAAATGTGATTGGTCTATATGGTTGTTTTCTGAAGACAGAGCACGGTGGGCAGTTGTTATCTGCAATCGGTGTGGATGCTAATAACGGTATGTATCCAGTAGCATATGCTGTTGTTGAGGTTGAGAATGGAGATAACTAGAGATGGTTTTTAAAGTTATTGAAGGATGACTTGTATATATACAATGGTTTGCACTGGACATTCATTTCAGATAAGCAAAAGGGGTTGATTAATGCGATTGTGTCCTTTTTTGAGGGTTCGGAGCACAGAACATGTATTAGACATCTATACAATAATCTCAGTGTCTTGCATAAGGGAATGGCTTTAAAGCATTGTCTTTGGGATGGAACTAGAACCACTACTGTACCACAGTGGCTTGAACAAATGCAAAAGATAATAGACCTAGACCCGACTGTATATGGTTGGCTTGAACCAAAACTAGCATCCTATTGGAGCAAATCCTACTTCAGACTCAGTGTGATATGCTTTTAAATAATTTGTGTGAATCATTCAATAGCACAATTGTCAGTGTAAGAGAGAAGCTCATTCTAACCATGCTTGAGGAGATTAGGTTGTATTTGATGAAGAGAATTGTCGCTCGTAGATAGTTGGCTGATAGATGGACATCAGCAGTAGGAATTAGAATCCAAAAAATTCTCGATAAGCATAGTACACTGTCAAGGTTTGAGTGGGCTGAATATGCGAGGAATGAGAAGTTCCAAGTTTGACACAATGTAGGCATTGTACTGCATGCTGTTGACCTCAGGGCAAGGACTTGCACATGTCGTACTTGGCAGTTATCAAGAATCCCTTGTTGCCATGTCATTGCCTCGATGGTATTTAGAGGCCTCTGTGTAATTGATTATGTACACGGCATGTACAAAAAAGGATTCCTACCTGATCACATATATGCCTTCAATTTCCCCTATCACAGGTCCGTACTCATGGCCTAGTCCAAGTCTCAACCCACTTAGACCATCTGTTTACACAAAAAAGGTTGGGAGGCCGAAAAAGAACAGAAGAAAAGAGCCAAATGAGGTGGAGTCTTCAAGTCAGGCGAAGAAGTCCAGAAAGTCTTTGCAAAATAAAATCCCTTTGGACGCAACTTCAACAGGCATATCCAGTGCAGGGATGAGAGTAGCCCAAACTCAATCATGTCTGAAATACGGTGAACCAGGGCACAATGGGAGGAGCTGTAAAGGGATACCACCACCAGCAGGCAATTAAGGACACTTTTTCTGTGTTTCATCTGTTCTGTCTCTATGATTTCTTTTTGTTTTGAATGCGGTTGTAGTGCCAACCTAAAGAAGTGGTTGAATTGTAAATTTTTTTGTTAATGTATATGAATCATTGGTAGAATAACAGCCGAAATTGGAGTGGCTAAGAGTTTGCTAATTGTAGATGTAAATTTGGTTCAGGCTTAATTCTGTTCTGTAAATATCGTTGGTGTTTTAAATTTTTAGTTTGATCTGTATGATGAGTTGCCATGGTTGATTAGTGTCAGTTAATAGATGTGGTTGATTGGTATTTTGAGTTGCTGTGGTTGATTACGTTCTTTCTATTACTGTGAAAGAGTGAAGCGTACAGGATATAGTAGGGACATTTTCCACAGATATTTGAAATGCGGGGACGTTATGCGCAAAAATTGTCTAAACGTAGGGACGTTTTACCCAACAATCTTTTAAACGTTGGGATGTTATATGCGGCCATAGTTTGAACATTTAGATGTTTTACGCAACAAATTTTGTAACGCAGGGACGTTTTCCACATGTTCAAATTTGGAGAAAAACATGTTGACAGCTTCAGCTTTTGATGTACAAATCTAGGACTGGTGACGAACAGTGGTTTCAGCCGTTTCGTTACACAAAAACTTTTTTTTTCCTTTTTTAAAGAATAACTTGTTTATTACCCTATAAGATGTGGACTACGTCCAGAGAATTCTTGACCCTTTCTTTGGCATGGATCGGGTGGTTGATGACGCACAACTAATGAGATCACCATCACTGACACCGATCACGATGGTAGCCAAGCTAATTGATGGGTAACTTGCGGAGGTTACCCTAGCTATTTATCTGAGGGTTAATACCCTACATAGTCACTGAACTTTGCCAAAAATTTCAGGAGGTCATCGAACTTCAAAACTTCCCTAAGTAGTCACTGAACTTTGTAAATAGTTCCTAGGGTGTCATTGAATTTCCAAACTTCCCTAAATAATCACTAAACTTTGCCAAAACTTCACTAGATAGTTATTGAACCATTGATGTATGGGGTCCCAATTTGCAAAGTTCGGCGACTTCCTGGGAAGTTTTGGCAAAGTTCGGTCACTATTTAAGGAAGTTTTGAAATTCAGTGACCCTCTGGGAACTATTTGCAAAGTTTGGTGACTACTTAGGGAAGTTCTGAAGTTTAGTGGCCTCCTGAAAATTTTTGGCAAAGTTGTGACTATTTACGGTATTAACTCTTAATCGGAAGCTCCACAAGTTCCAGTCCCGCTGTTATTTCTGAGTATGCATGACCCTTGGATGATGGCGGAAAGAAGAGGTTTGTGAAGTGACCTGACCATTTTACCCTTCGAGTTTCGAATTAGAAGGGAGTCCAGGTAAGCATTTAACGGTAAAACTCACGACAGATGGATGGAAGGACGTTTTCGACAATGAAACGTTGAAATAAAGACGAAAATGTAAAAAAATGAAATGTAGGGACGTTTTGCACACAAATAGCCAAACGTATGGACTTTTTTTGCTAATAAGCCATTAAGAAAATATTGAAATATACATTTGATGATATATTTTATTTCTACTTCTGTTAGGTATTAAAAAAAAATTTATTCTCAATTCACATTTGTTTTTTACAAAATTTTTAAGGTAGAATCAAACTCGTACTGTCAATTCTAGTTCGAGTTTGGTTTAAATAATGATGTGGATCCAAATGTTTCCATTTATGAATACTCGAAGTATAACGAGTAATTTCAGATATCGAAAGAATCCACCCGATGTTCAGGCCTACAATTTACAACCCAATTTTCATTAACAACACTTCTTAATGCAACGAAAGTGTCCAATCTTTACTTATTTTCTTACTTGTATCCCTAACTTTCACGCTTTTAAAATCTTAATCTTTAATTAATTAATTTTGCTTTTAACGACAATTTCTGTTCGAATATTTTGTTAGTATGTTTTAAAATGAGGAACAAATATATTGTCAAACATTTTTTTTTCTTTTGTTTATTTAAAAACACCAAGAACAAATAGGTCTTTGTACATCCTCCCAACAGATTCTTTGGACAAAGGTTGTCATCACAGACAAGATGCAAAGAATCTTACGGATAAGAATACAAAAATGAACAGAGATTAAAACCTTTCATCGAACTTAAAATGTTGTACAGACGACAAAAACTGTATAATTACCCTTGACACTTAAAATGTATAAGGTCTTAAATCACTTTGCGCTCTCTGTCTAGGCCTATATCATAAATTCGAGTCCAAGAAAGTCGAAAGTCCAGAATTATTAGTGCTCAACGTCCATACGGAGATAGGGTGTTGGATAGAGGAGAATTTTGGTCATTTATGTTTCAAACATGTTCAAAAAGTTGGTTGACGAGCATACTTTCCAAAATTAGCCAAAACAAAATTCAAAAATCAAAAATGTCAACAGGGCTATGAAATTTCATGCCCATATTCAATATTAGTCCCGGTAAACCAAAAACTTGGCAATATCATCCAGCCCAGCCTCCTTGTAACACTCAGCAATCCTCACCAGGCTGTCGTCCCATGTCCCTTCAACAGAAGCTAGATCCAACAAAAACGCTGCTTCATCCAATGCAACCTGCAAATAAGTAGGTAGGAGATGAAGAGAGAACATTGTTATTTGTTCGCATGGAGTTCGAGTGAAGGGTGAGAACGCTACTCTTTTAGTATTGGACTAATAATGAAGCGCATATATTTATGGTCAAACCTGAGCAGGTTCCTTCCCTTTCTTTAGATCTTCTCGCCTTCCCTCCTCAGTCACCTTCTCTTTAATGTACTCAATTTGTTCGTCCTCCCATTGAGCCAAGTTAGCAGCTTCCTAAATACAGTTAAACAAAATAACACATATAACAGACAATATGCATAATGAGCCGGAATTATAAGAGCGAGCTGGATGGACAAACACCTGATATTCGCATCCCAAAGTCCACCATGGTGATTTCAAAGCCACCCTTGCAGAATCTTTTGCTTCTGCATTTCGTCCAACTCTACAAAAGACACAAATGTTTATTATACAGTAACACGGTATAGTAATATACCAATACCAACCAAAGTTAGGACTACAAACTTAAGTAGAACTTCGGCATTGAAGACAAAAGGGCGACCAAATCCTGGAAAATGCTCCTTTTTTGTATAGAATTCCCCAGTTACCAAAGCTGAAACCTTCACCAGCATGCATGTACCACTTGAGAGTAAATAAAGCCACTTCGAGCAGAAAGAAAAATTCACAATCAACTTACCTGGTCCCCTCTATCAAAATGCTGCTCAACTTTACGTTCTAGAATATCAGGAAACAAGCCGACCTACGAAAAAACTAAGGAATTTTGTCAAATCTGCTAATATTAATATAAACAAAAAGTGCCCTTTTGCTACCTTTTTCAGAAGATAGATGTCTATACTCGAAATCTGAGATGCAGCAAAATCACCCTTCTTATACAGCTTCTCTCCAGCATCAGCTGAAGCAAAAAATAACTCATCGTTCTTTTCCTGGGAACTCTTGATGTCTTCTTCCACCAAGATTCTGTGAATATATTGATCTACCTGTATTAGATGAAATGGAAAGACATGGTGAAAATACACTTCTACATGGAACACATGAGCATTAAATGCTACAATCCAACCCTACAACCAAATTTTATCAAACAAAATCGACTGCTGAAGTGATGGAAAAACAAATGCAGCTTACATTCTTAGCCAAAAGCCACACTCCATACTTGCGAACCTCCACCACTGGCATCTCCATCCTGTACACATCAGGAGAGATTAAACAACCGAAAACTCCGAAAAAAAATTGACAGCAATTTTAGGGAGTACCCAGCAGGAGCAGTTGGCCATCGTAATAATGCAGTCACAGAACCTGTAATCAATAAATCATAGATGAAGATAGGATATTTCAACAAATACTTTAGCCTCAAATAGAGAACCCCATTAAAACACCTGAATTATTTTTGGAGAGAGGAATGGCAAGAGGAAGCAGCCCTTGCTTAGCCCCAGGAGAAATTATTTGTTCACCTATTACAAAGAAATATAAAGAAAAGCTCATATGGGCCACTGAACTTGACCATAAATGTTCTTATTATGAAGAGATGATTCCACAGGGCAGAAGTTGTGAAACTTGGTAATGGCATTATCATTACATCATGCAATGTATGGATGGGAGATGAAAAACGCTTGACTCAATTAAACTTAACTGACAAGTGAAAGTATTTATAGACAATTGATACCTCTATGATGCCCACAATAGATTTCTTGAGAAAATATGTGAAATTTTATTCTGAGATAATTAGTGGGAAGGAATTGTATAAAATTTAATGACTACTTCCCATACAGAACAAGTGACATGAAAGTTGAAACAAAAATATGTCATCTTTTAAGCTTTATCTACCATAAGGATCATCACCCTCCCATATCATCAGCTATTTGTTTTGTATCCACTACTGTTTCCGATCCATATCCTATTGTCTGTATATATTCAAAGTTCAAAGGCACCGAATATATCTCAGTCACCTCTAACACCACCACGCTTACCTTCAACCCATTATTATTTGGCATGCAAATGTGTGTAATGTATTATAAAAGCTAGGGCTAGCTTCTTAACTATTCTGCTGTCTACTATAGTGTTTGCTTAACTACTAAGTCTAGATTACGATATTATGATATTTTTTAGTTGCTTTTAAGTTTGTTTACTCTTAATATCTAGTAATCATAATTGTCCTCTTGTTGCCATGTTTGACCAGCAACTGTCTATTATGAGGCCAACTATGCAGCCGTATTAAGTGTTGAAATGTACAAGAGAAAAGGAGTTCAATGCATCATACTTTCAACTAATTCTCTTGCCAGTGTTTCAGCTTCAGGAATTGAAATCTAAACCCCTACAATTGAAGGGTTCAAGCCAATTTTCAGCTGTTATTTGCTGTAAATCATCCTGGCACTCCTTTTTGTCACTAAAAATCTATTTAAAGCCTTCTCGGCTTTTGTTATAACAAGGCTACAATTCAACCTTAAACCCTTTAGCAACTTCAGATTTCTTGATCTAAGGTTGCATTGATGTGTGTGAGGCGGACAGGGGCACAGGATATTGTTGGCTTACAGGCAATATGGGTTTAAAACCATCTATCTGGATCTGCATACAATGTGATGGGTAGGGCCAATGCTTAACAGTTTGACACAACCAACCTATTCAGGTTGGATTTGGTTTGAGTGAGGGTGCCCACTGAGATCGAGACACGTCAATGCTGGAGTAGTTGAAAGGGTGTTCATTTCGGTGTAGGTAATTGGGAAGTTAAAAGCTGGATTCTACGTGCCGCAGCAGCCATGTCTAGTTATGTCGCAAGGCATACGTACCAAATAATGCCACATGACTAGAAGAAGATCAATTGTGATATTTCATTGTGCAAGGCAAGCAAACTAAAATGTTTCGTAAAGGCATATTACCCTAAAGATTATCCTATCTGAAGTTAAAAATCTGAGTTTATTCTGAATGCATCGAGGACTTATACGTGTTTATTTAGGATTGACACATTTGAAGCTTTAGATACTTTGTACAATTGACTTTATACATAGTTGCAATTGTATTGATTTTTAGTTGAGTTCCGGATTTGTACATCTTAAAGTTCTGAATGGTTCAATTTCTATTTAGTGATACACTTATACATTTGATGCAATACATTTTTGAATTAAACTTGCGCATTTTTTTTATTTTTTTTTAATAACCGTGGATGTTCGGGCCAACTTCTGCGCACCTCGACTAATTCCACGGGGCCCTGAAATTTACGGTCGGATACTCACCTCAATGGCCCTAAGGGGACTCAAACTGGTGACTATTGGGGAGTAAACCCAAGGCCCGATCAAGTGAGCAACCACCTCATGGTTGCGCATTTGAAGGTACATTCATAATATGACATGTCTATTAGCAATGCTAGTCCTGAATTTCGAAGTTATAAGTGGATCGGTTTACACAAATTTTTGAAAGACTCTTATTAAAGCATTTTATCATATAGGTACAGAGTGTTGGGTCTCTAGCCCCACCATTTTCTTCTTCAAACTAAGGGAAGTGGCATCTCATTTGGACCAAATGGTACAAGCAAATCTCCCACAAATTACCATAATTTGGAGTTCCTTATTCATGAATAAGTAAGAATAGGCTTGTTGTGTTTGGAACAGATCAGGGACTTCCAACTACACTGAACCTAATTTTCCAAGTTTTCTAGTGATATTGTTGTTGCAAAAGATGAATCCAAAGTTTTCCCTCATCAAATTTTATGAAAGCAAAATCAACAAAGACGTCAATCAAGAATCAAATAGAACGCAATGTGGAAAGAAAATTGGTCATGCATTCATCCAATAATAAGAACGAAGGAAGATTACAACAGCAAACTAAGTTTATTCCTAATAAATCAACTACACAAATCATACTGTGAAGGTCATTACAATGTGTATTTAGATAAAAGGGAAGATTATGTTAGCAAAATTATTGCCTCTCGCAATATCCCAGATTTTATAAGCAAATAAAACATTGCCAATATACAGAAATAAGCAATCACAACGTGTCTATTAAGTGATCTCATATGAAAAGCACGACTGAAAAATCAGATAGAAAGAGAAAAACTCATGGCTTACCTCTGACCGGAAGCATTTTCAGTAGATGATTCAAATGCTCCGGAGGTTGAGTAACAGCCACATCTTTGATAAACGATACGTGGTCTGCATTCCAAGACCAAAACCATTATTCCCATTAACGTGTGTCTGCGTTTATCGTAAGTAGTAATTCTATATGCACGAACTGGGAGATGCAGTGAAAATGTGTAGTTAGTGTACCAGAAGAAGAAGAGTAGCATCTGAAATTAGGTTTGCAGCGGCTAAAGAGAACTGTCGGAAAATTGGCGGCACGTGGAACTCCGAACACCACTCCACCGCCTACCTTCATATCCTTCGGCTTCCGTTTTGCCACTTGGTTCTCTCTATTGGGTTCGTTTCTGGAATATTGTTTTGCAACGAAAATTGTAGAAGTTGCCTACTCGAGAAAGGGAAGCATTTGACATAAATAACACTAAAATAGAGAATATAATGATTTGCTTTCTCATTTTTAACACTATTCGTGAATTCAACTTGCAGAAATTACACAAAAGAAAAAGAAAAAAAGGGTTAAAGATTGAGAATTAAAAGGGTTGAATCGAAATCTAACATGCATTGAAAAAGTAGAAACGATAAAGGTAATGAATCCATATGTTCTTGACTTGTTTTATAGTTTGCAATTTTCAATATTTCACCGAAATCAAACTAGTTTTTTGATTGTCGAGCCAATTCATGGTTTTGACAATATTAGTGCGAATGATTTTTCTTTAATATTGAATTCTAAATTATAACCATCTTGCAAATCAAACTTGACTCGTTACTGAGAACTATTTGCATCTCGAACATTTTGGCAATGTGGGTTTCCTTCTTAGAATGGAATATTTCTATTATTTGGCTTACCATATCATTGTTTTGCCTTTGAAAGGAATTTTTTGAAGCTTCACTATCGATGGAATACATCATTTTATAATGAATAAGCTCAAAATCTAATACAATAACAATTCATACAAGTTGAGTAAAGTGACTCTCTAGCAAAGTTGACCTCCGGTTGAGCGAACAAGGTGTCTTTGATGTATAGGTCAAGTCATAATCTATATAAATATTGCATAATTGAAAGGTTTCAAGAAATTTTGACAATGTGATCTATAGATACATTGCAATCAGAAAGGAGCAAGCAACAAGGATGGCTGAATTAAAACAGATGCATCAAGGAACGAGATATTGAATGGAAAAATCAAAAGTAGTGTATATACTGAATTCATCAGCATAATACTACTAGAGTTTTGCTTGGTGTATATCAAGTTTGACATTATAGATGACATTGTGTGATTTGACAACTTCTTGTATATTGATTTTAACAACATTCTTTTCAATCAATGACCAAATTTTCTACACATAAGGGATGTCAAGGTAGTGGTGGCAATCGAGCCAAGTGGCTCGCCTGCTCAGCTCGTACTGTAGCAGTCCACGAGCCGCTTGGGCTCGTCCGAGCACGAGCCGAGCGGCTCGCCGAGAGGCTCGTCTAAGACGTTAAGAGATCCAACTCATAAACTAGAAAATAATATTTATGTGGATCGAAGAAAATATTATAGCAAGTCCAAATGGATCGACAAATGAAATTATAAGAATACAATTAACTGATGAATTTATTTTTCAAATTTTTAATGCTTTTTGTGCACTAGTACACATATTACTCATGTACCTACAACTCGTCATCTCACTAATATAAACGATGACGACGCTGAAATTTTAAATTTATTCGAAAACATAAACTCATATGGATATGATTCAACTGCATATGCATGTAATTCATCTACTAGTAGTAGTTTGTCTTCCACTGGATGTACTCAAACTTNGTTCAGAAAATGTCATTGAATTCTGGCGAAATAATGAATGCCTATGGCCAATAGTTTCTACAAATGCAAAAGAAAAGATCTATTAATACTTTCGATTAGCATTGTAGCTTAAGAGTCTGCTTTTAGTGCAGTGAAGAGGGTTCTCTCCGAGATCCGAAGTCAACTAAAAGAAGATATTTTCGAAGCGTTAATGTGCGATAAGGATTGAGAAGACGCTACTTATTGAATTCAACATAAATATGTCGAAATTACATGTAATCAAGTAAATGATATTTAATTTCACTACAATCATCACAAAATTTTATTTTCATACCTTTATAATTTTTAAAAAGAAATTGTACATGTAACAAGTTGTTCGTGTACAATTTTAACTCCGCCTACTCGAAATTGAAATAGTTGGTTCCAAACCTGAATAAAGGATGAGAGTTTATCTTTTTTGTTTTTTAAATAAAAATGTGAGTTGGATATTTTAACATCTCATTTGTTCATCTTAATCTCATAATTTCTTTTGTCGATCCGTTTGGAATTGCTACAATATTTTCTTCAATCAACATTAATTGTTGCGTAGATTTCATTTCGGCTTACAATAATATCTTATCAATTCATATATATCGGATTACAATAATATCTCATCAATTCATTTCGGATCACAATAATCTGAATTTCACTTATGTTTGCCCACCATATCCAAATATTTGTATAAGTAACTACAAGAGCCAGAGAAGGCTAGCTGGTATGACTCGTGCAAGGATGATAAACCAAAGCCTTTTATTATACCTCATCATATTAGCCAGCTACAGCCCTGTCCATGTAGCTGCATCTTGTTTTACTGATCGTTATGAGGTGCAAGTTTTCAATAAACTGCCTCCCAACTCTAGCCCATTGCGGTTGCACTGTGCATGTGCATCGGGAGACAATGATATTGGATATCACACACTTTACGTAAATCAAGAACTCAATTGGCATTTTTGGGAATACGTTGTTTTTCTCCATCCTATGGTGGGGTCCAAAGAATCGAGCATTTGAAGTTTTTAATTCAAAATGGGCAGATTCTTGCCCGGGTAGTTATTGCTTCTGGGAAGCAAGGAGTGATGGTATCTATTTTCATTATGTGGAGGAAACAAGAAAAGAATATGATTGGAAATAAAAATCCCTATTACTTTAATTCGTTAAATTACAATTTTCATATCTTTTGAATGTCGTGTCATAAACCTTACAAGTTATATAGCTATAATTGTCGAAGTCAACTTAATCATATCGGTAATTTAAGCGGTCAACTAAGGTCCCTTATTCAAGGAAGGCCCTACAAAATTTTTAAGAAATTTCATTTTTTCGTATTTTATCTAGTTTTTACTAAATAATGTTAAAATCCCAATATTCAAGACTCTTTTACTTATTTACTTTTTCATTTTCTTGAAAACTCGAGATCATACATTAGTAAAATTTATAAGTAACAAACTCTTTATTGTTACTACTTATATATTTACAATAACTTATCGAAGCAACTGCAAAAAAGCAATTTTTACCGATTCATGTATGCCAAATGCGACTATCGTTTTCTTGGAAATCAATATTATTAGCCTTTTCATGCGTTCTAATTGAAATCTATTAAAGTGAGTGAAAGTGCTAAAAATTTTCATCTTGTTTAGTAAAAATCATTTTCTTGTATCAGCGTTAAGAACAAAATTGACCTCTAACACAAAAAGAGAACAATTTTCACTTCTGTAATTACCTAAATGCATTATTGCGGAATTTCGATAATTTCAACTTTAAATGCTCTTTTGAGCAAGTGCTGGCTTATAGATTTTATTTCATGGATAATTGTGTTTTATAATTCTAACGTAAGTTAGAATTATGAGATTAAAATTAAAATCTGGTGATTTTACTATTTTGAATTTTTGGATTGAATTTAGTTTTCTAAGTGTTGACGAAATCATCAAGTTATATATCTAGATCCCTCTAAATATTCTCGCGTGGTGTTTTTTTTTTTGCAATTAGCGATATTATCAAATCTTGTTTAGCATTATATTATTTGATGGGATTCTATGAAGCACGTGTTCAATATTATCCTATTTACTCAAACAATGTAAAAATATTGAAAGTCCATATTTGGAATTGTTACAATATATTGTTCAATCCACATTAATATAATTATCTAGATTATGAGTTGGATATCATAATATGTCATGAGTTAATCATAAAAGCATAATTTCTATTGTCGATCCTCAGTGAAATCTTGATAAACTTCCATTTGATTAAAACTTATGTGTATTACTAGTGCACAAAAAGCATTGAAAATTTGAATTTCCTAAGTTCATCAGTTAATTTTATTCTTATAATTTCATTTGTCGATCCATTTCGAACTGCTATAATATTTTCTTTGATCCACATAAATATTATTTTCTAGTTTATGAGTTGGATCTCTTAACGTCTCATTAGTTCATCATAATCTCAAATTTCTTTGCCGATCCATTTAGTATTGTTACAATATTTAGATTATGAGTTGGATATATTAATATCTCATCAGTTCATCTTAATCTCATAATTTCTTTTGTCGATCCATTTGGAATTGCTTCAATATTTTCTTCAATCCATATTAATATTATTATCTAGATTACGAGTAATATCTCACAACGTCATCTGATAAGAGTGTATTTTACACATCTATATTGATTCATAAACATGGATATTTGTCGGTTTATGCGTCTTAATTCATTATAAATTATGTTTGTAGGGCATAAGTAGTGAATGCAGTGGAAAATGGAAGAAAAATGTTGAAGAATGACTAAAACGAAGAAATATCAAAGTTCAGGGATTGAGTTGAATTATTCAAAAGATGAATAAGAGGAGAACTTGAAGAAGTAAAGATGACAAATTCAAATTGAGCATTTGATGCATGCATTGGAACAAGGAAAATTGGAAAATGGTTGAGATATGAAGAGAACAAAGTTGGAGGATTAAACTGCCACAATTTAGAATAACCTAACACTATGCGGTCACATAGTGTTAGAAAGCCTGAAACTGCATCAAGGCATGCAGGAAATTTCTAGAATCAAGTCATTCTATGCGACCGCATAGAATCCTTCTATGTGGTCGCATAGAAGGAATTTTTGGCGAATTCCCAAGTTTCCTAATTTAGTTCAAACTCTTATGGAAACATGATTTTGGACTCCTTTATAACCCGAATAACGCCCAGAAACTAGGGTTACGCACTATTTTGAGAGAAAACACCATTGAAGAGTAAGGAGAAAGGGCGAGAACGAGGGTTTCACTTCAAGATTCAAGCTTTAACTTCTA